TGCTTCAGCCCACTGGCGATATCCTTCGCAATTCGAATGAGTTCAGTCCATCGAATTTTGTAGATATCCACTTCTTGTTTTTTTTTGTAAATAATTACGCAAATTGCCATCACTAGCAAGTTGTAGCACCAGCATAAAATTTAATGATTTGCATCTTTAAACAATCTCCACTATTTCAGGATTGCTGGATGGGATTTGTTAATATTTCTGGATTATAGCTTACATAATTAATAGAGATTCCTAACAATTACACAATGAGAACTTAATAAATGATATTTTAAATAGTATTAGCAAAATCCACCTTTATTATACTCAAGTAATTATTTTATTAGAAATACCAGTAAAGCCTATACTTGTTTGCATAATGCTTATACAGTATATCCTACAATATTTATAACCACTATCTTCCTTATGCTCTCTATGCACATTATATATGCGATATTTGCAATCTGGGGAATGGAATAGTAAACAGCCGTTTGATATTTTCTAAACAATTTGAGATTTTTGATTCTAATTAAAAGGCCTTGGTACTTAATTATGCATTGTGCAATTTATCCCACGTCAAACTACAAATTAACATTTGACGAAATCAATTATTCGAAGATATAATACTCTTAAAATAGAATAACAAATATGTAACTTGGAGGCAAATTGAATTCAAGCATGTGACCTATTTGTGCAAAAAATAAATTTTGAAATTGGTACTGTACAGTAATCACATTTTACTCAAAACTCTAACCTTTTCCTTGCAAATGGCAGTTTTTTAGTCCATTTCCTCTATGCGCAATAAATACGGTTATTCTATTTTTGAACATTCGAGGGCGACCAAGCAGTATTGTCAGTCAAATATTGGATTGGGTCACGTTTTAAAGTCACAATAATTTCTATTGTCAGATCTTCACCTAATGAGATAAATGCCGAAAAAAAAGTGGATATGATAACGCAGATTGTTGATTGCTAAAAGTGTATTAAAACGAGTTTTTACAAAATTATGCCCATAACGATAAACATTCTGTGGGCGTTAATACTGATATGGCAATCTTTTTCAATGAGATCTCTCTCTTAGGTTAATTGTGAAATATCTTAAAATACAGTGCAACATGACATGTTGCACAATCATTTCCTTTTAATCTTCTTGATTTTACACACGTACTGTACGTACGTACGTACCAGGAACGGAATAATGAAATCACGAAGTGTATGGTTTATTCATATATAGCCAGTTACTCTAAATACAATACAGGAATAAAGAAGATCAAATTTACATCTGTAAGCTTTTATTTGAAGCTATGTCAGAAAAAGCATGTAAGTATTTACTAACTTTCAACTTCTTAACTTAGGTAAATGTTAATATGATAATGCTTACACTATATTAGTAATTGAATATTCGGAACAATTGGAGAGATATTTTGAAAAATATAAAATAAAAAAATTCGATTATTCACAACATAAAAATCGTAAATTCATTGGAAATGGTGGATTTGCTGTTGTGTATTCAGCAACTTGGGACGACAAAGAGTATGCACTGAAAAGTTTAAATAATAACCTGGGTTTGAATGGTAGAGAGTTCAAACAATTCAAACGTGAAGTAATATTCTTCTTCATTCGTATTTAGAATTTTAATATATGAAAGTACTAAATTATATATAGCTTAAGCTTCTTTATACGATCGATTATCACCCTAACATTGTAAAATTCCATAGTGTCTCAAGAGGTATAATTAATATTCTGTGTAAAAATAAGGGTATACAGTATCATATTCTTTTGAACAATAATTTAAACAATAATACAATGAACTTCAGAATCAAACGGAAATTTTATGCTGGTGCTACAACTTGCTAGTGATGGCAATTTGCGTAATTATTTACAAAAAAAA